TTAAGCGGCTGATTACCAAACATTATAACATTCTTTTTTTTTTAATTGCAATACAAATGCTCAGTGGAAAAAAAATATATACAACTGTATATATATATATATATATATATATATAGTTTCTGTAAGACAAATGAGAGTAGTGTACATTAGGGTTTCTATACGCTTCATCTTCATTTGCTAGTCAATAAACAATAAACCGAGAAATTACATTTTCAATAGAGAGGGATGATTTATATTACATTTTCCCATATATTGAAAAATGAAAATATTTTATAGAATAACCCGTATATCGTTACTGCAGTAACTATTGTAAATAGTTGAGTTTGAACAAAATTCACACCACAACTAAATTCTACAAGTCAAAAATTGAAAATATAATTTTTCAGCATTTTTACTTGATTCCCATAATAACTAAAATATACAGTAATAAAATATTCAGTAACAATGCGGGGAATAAAGATATTGCTGCTCTTTAAGTTCCCACTAGGGTTAAAATAAGCGCTTAAGCCTGAATTAGAAAATTATTTCATAATTAGAATATGTTTAGGGTATTTCTTACTTCTTGATTAAAATATAGCTTTCCGTAGAAGCAAAATTCAAGATTATTATTAAATTTAATACATTAAATGTACGAAATTCATATAGTAAAAATCTTGACCACATCTCTAATGTGAAATACGTTGCTTTGAACAAGAATAGGCGCAACTACTTTGCCATTTCTGCCAAGTTTCTCGACTTACTTCTACACCTTCTCACTTCAGATCCACTTCCCATGTTCTCCATTTTTTAGCCAATGTGCGTGTTTTCCGCGTTTTCAATAGAAAAACGACGGAAGAGTGCAGCATCCTTAAGATAACCTGCAAAACTTTTAAGGTAAGACATTTAAAGTGCATTACAAGAGCTTCAAAAAGAAAGCCCATTATGGACAGAGAGTTCACTCTTACTTGTAGACTTTCAACGGGTCAGTCAGGCTTTCACCAAGGGCAAAGCTGGGTATGTCATCTTGAACATATAGTTTACTCGATAAATTTCAATTACACAATAATAAAAGCTCTAGTACAATAATGAACAATTATTGACTAGTGATTTCGGGCAACAACTACAATTTGAAATAAATACTGCATTTAGCAACTGCACCTAAAGCACCTTAATCATCATTTAAATGCACCCGGAAGGTATCGGGAAGGCCGTGTGCCATAAGCAAGTTGCACAATATCTATAGTAATGACACGAAAAAACGTGGGTATTGGTGTGATATAAGACAGTCCAGCTAAATCTAGCGAAACCACAGCCAAGGGAACGGGCTTGGTGTCTTACTATTAGACACTTATC